TGGTGCTGTGGCTCAAGTGGTAGAGTGCTAGCCTTGAGCTGAAGAGCTGAGGGACAGCGCCCAGGCCCAGAGTTCAGGCCCCACGACCGGACCCCCCCCCCAAAAAAAAGAAATGCCCCCCAGATGGACAGGGCACTTGATTCCCTTAACGGAAAGCCCAAAGGACTGCATGCCTAGTTCAATCTAAGAGAACCAAATTGGAGAGTTTGGAGAATTTCAACTTACTTGTGTGTGTGTGTGTGTGTGTGTGTGTGTGTGTGTGTGTGTGTGTGTATGTGTGCGCCAACTGGGGTTTGAACTCAGTACTTTGTGCTGTCTTTAGCTTCTTTTTTTCTTCCTCAAGGCTGGTGCTCTACCACTTGAGCCACACCTTTACTGGTGGATTTTTGCTGGTGAAGTGCAGATAAGAGTCCAACAGACTTTTCTACTCAGGCTGGCTTCAAATCTCAATCCTCAGATCTCAGCCTCCAATGTAACTATGGTGTTGTCATAGCACTGTCTTTGGACAAAAGGAGGATGACATTTGCTAAAAAAACTTTGAACTTTGCCCAAGTGGGGAGAAAGTGTGGGGAGCTGTTTGGAGGTGAGATGAGGGAATGCTCAGGAGCCCAGCCTCCAGGCATTACTTGCTAGATACCGATGACACAGATCAGCCTAAGTGAGGACAGCGGTGACAGAGTTATGAAATCATAATCATATGCCAGACGTATGATTCCCTGGGAATGGGGAAAAACGGGAATAAAAACATGATTTTACTTTAAGTATGCAGTCTGGGAGAGATCCCAGACACACTCAACCATAATTTCAGTGCTGTGTGGCAAATGCTTGATGGCAGTATATATGATTTTTCTGTCCTATTCTTTTCGCTGTGGGACCCGGGAACAGATGGTATTCATGACTCATGGATCTGTGGCAGGTTGACTGGACCTGACAGCATGGATTGGAGGCCTCAGGCTGGAAGAATGGAAAGGCATTCTAGGCAGGAAGGGAAAATACTTTGCACAAGGGAAAAGGAATGATAGTAGGTGCCATATTTTGTGGTGTGAGCAGTTTATAGCCGAATGCTACTTCTCTACTATTGCTTAGACCTTGGGTTTCTTAGAGAAGATTAAAAAGAGAAATAGATTCTCTTCATTAGCGCTGATGTTCATGGAGCCAGAATGGGTCACCTTTGTTCGTTCTCTCCTTTCATCCACACACATTCATTCCCGACTTAGTTATCCATTAAGTAGGTGGTAGATACTGCAATGAATGAGACAGACCACCGCCCCTGACCTCACAAAACCTTAATATCTGGGTTCTATTTTGAGTTCATTTAACTTAGCTATTCTCACTGATTTCTTCTGATGAAGTCAAAGACTGAGAAGGGATGGAGAATAATTGGAAATGTGCTAATTTCAACACATTACTCAGGGAATAAAAAGGCTAATAGAAGAATAGCTCTGTCTACAGTTTACTTCACTTAACTGGGCTTGAACTCAGGGCTGGGTACTGTTCCTTGGAGTTTTTGCTCAAGATTGGCACTCTACCCTTTGAGCCCTACTTCCTCTTCTGGCTTTTGGATGGTTAATTGGAGAGGAGTGCCCCAAGAACTTTCCTGCCCTAGGCTGGTTTTGAACTGGGATCCTCAGATCTTAAACACCTGAGTAGCTACATAGTTATGGAAAACTGGCACCTGGCTACTATGGCAAATTATTAAGAGACCTGGATTATGTCCTAAATTGTACAGTTTAGAAATTAAAAATGTGTAATTTGGGAGGGAAATGCTGAAGAGCTGCTTTTGATAGGTCAGATGATCATTCTTAGTGAAGAAAACCAGAGACCTATCTCTTCCTATACATAGCAAAAGCAAACCAAGCCACATGAAATTCTTGCCCCAATGATTTGATACTATTTTTGATTGAATTTGATGCATCTTGTATGGAGGACAGAATGTTGAGTTTCCTTTCTAACTCTCATTTTTATGAAATACAAGTGATCTTAATATAATGGGCTGTGCAAGCAAGAACGACTTGGGATCAATTGCTCTAAAAATATTCCTAATAGAGGACTTCATAATTCTATTCAACATGCCAGTGCACTTGGTTTTCTAGAGGCATATTTTGCAAGTCCTTTATCTCAGAGAATTACCTATTAAATTAAACTGCTTAGACTAAAAAATTTCTATGAGCGTTTTACTGAAACTTTAATGACTGGGTAGGCGTTTGGTGACACTAACCTTAGAGATTTTTCTAGGCTAAAATTATCTTAGTAATATCCTGCAGCAGAGTTTTGGAGCCCAGGGTTTCATTTGACTGCAGAAGAGAGAGAGAGAGAGAGAGCCAGAATTGATTTGCAGGAAGGAAGTCACAGACTTGTCCAGAACATTCTTCTCTTTGGGTTTGCCCATGTATAAGAGCACATTTTGCTCTTAGGAATGTTACCTACTTTTAATTTCCATTTCTCTTTCATTAAGATATGCCATTTATCTCCCCATCTGCACTGATCAAGGAAGCAGATGAATCTGCCCTTAATTACCAACACAGACTATTTGCATTCTTGGCCTATGTTACCAAATATATCTCTCCTTGCTGAACACTAACCAAAATCTCAGTTGAGAGATAGAATTTTTTACTTGTACAGCTTTGGTTTAAAGTTGACTCCTCTAGTTATTCTAATTATTCTAAAAGCAGTCCTTGAACAGGGCAGACTGTCAGAACAGAGCTCTTGAGCATCATGGGTGTGTTGGCATCTGTGCTCTGTCTCTACTGAGAACCAGGACGGAAACCCTGACACTGGCTTGGTCCACTGTGGAGGTGGAGCCAGAAAGGACCAAATTCATCACCACCCAGACCAACTCCTGAATGAGGATCTGAAGGAGAAAGTTTTCTCCCAAGTAATTTCTCTCTATAAGCATTCAGATCTAAAATTTCATCATTGATTATATTTTCCTTTCTAGGAGCTCCGAGCTAAATCACTGAAACATGTCCCTTTAGAATATGATTTCCTCCACAGTCTTCTGATTTCCTACAAAAATGATTAAGGTAAAACTTATGTAACATAAAATCAATCATTTAAAATAAACCATTTAAAACCATTCAATAGGTTTTAGTACATAAAGTTGTGCCATCACTACTAATAACTAGATTTTTCAATTTCACCATGAGTCATCTTAGTTTTGTCTTATCCTTTGATTCTTTTTTTAAAAACAATTATTATTTTTTAAAAAAAATTTGTGTTGATACTAGGGCTTGAACTCAGGACCTGGGCATTAATGTTTTTGCTCGAGGCTGGCTCTCTACCACTGAAACCAAACTCCACTTCTGGCTTTTTTGGTGGGTAATTGGAGATCAGAGTCTCACAGACTTTCCTGGCTAGACTGGCTTTGATCCTCAGACCTCAGATCTCAACCTCCTGAGTAACTAGAATTTATGGATGTAAGCCACCAGTGCTTTGTTTTGTTTTGATTCTTTTTTATGGTTGGTTGTGGGGCCTGAACTCTGGGCCTGGGTGCTGTCCCTCAGTTCTTTAGCCCAAGGCTAGCACTCTACCACTTGAGCCACTTCTGGCATTTTCTGCTAATGTGGTACTGAGGAATCAAACCCAAGGCCTCATGTATGCAAGGCAAGCGCTCTACCACTGAGCCACCTTCCTAGTCCTGTTTTGATTCTTTGAAATGAAACCTTATTATGTTACACACATGTGTACAAAATATCATAATTAAAAAAATAAAGTAAGGTTTTAGTGAACACATTAGAAAAATCTAAAAGAAGCTCAAGTGCAAGAGCTCAAGGAAGAGTAATCACCAAATAGATGAATGCAGGGGTTATTTTGTGGAAGCCAGTTGAAGAAGTTTCAAGAAGGGAGTGGTCAGCAAGAGCCCCAGACCAGAAATGTCACACAGAGGCAGAACAAACTCACCCGGCAGGCCAGGTCCTTCCCTGTGCTCTGTCTCCTGCGTGGGTTCACCAAGAGGAAGTGTTGAACTCAAAGTCACATTCTGAAGATAGAATTTAGGAGGACAGATATTGAGAGAGACATTCTTTGAACTTGAGAAGGCTTATCTTTCCTGTCCTTTAATATTGCCATTTAAATTTCAGCATATCATTTTGTAGTTGTTAGGAGTTTTTACTGTAGAAGAAGGTTCTGATTTAAAAATTCTGTCCTCAAGGACAATAGGTAGCAGCACATGATCCAGGCTTCTAGGTTAACTCACTTTGTCTGACTAGACACTTGAAATACTTGAAAATGAGTCAATCACATTTCAGTTCTTTTGGGTTCTTTCATTTCAAGAAGGACACAACTTAGTCTACACTTCCATTGCTGAACACTAAAATGAGAACTTAGAGCAGACGTTAAATGCATGTAGCTTTCAGTGAAATATCAAAATACAAGGAAAAACTGGGAGAGAGGGAGGAAAAAGATGATATTGTCCAAAAGGACATGTACTCCTTGCCTGACTTATGCAACTGTAACCCCTCTGTTTTTAGCATTTTCAAAAAAAATGTAAAAATAACTACTGAATTATCACTTTTACTCTTTAAGACATTCATTTACATTTGCCATATTCCACAAATAAATATGTAGTTAAGATCTTTAGAATTAAAAATAAATTTACAGAATACATTTTCAAATATTTTTTGTATCTGTATAATACTGAAGGTATGTGTATCTATTTATATAAAAGTCAAAATTAAGGTCAAAATTAATATGAGTCAAAATTAAATAATATGTCCTGGTTTATTCTTTTGAGTTTATAAGATGTGTTTGTGTAATCAAAACCAGGGCACAGTCTCATTTTAATTGAAACAAAAATCTAACCAAATTTGAGGAATCTTTGAACTTTAGGATATTGGAAATATATTTGAATTCCATTCTATTAGTACAATTACTGAAAGTGGGTTGACCAAGAATATTTTGCAAAAACAGAGAAGCATTGTAATTGGCTTTGCGAAAGGGATTTTTCTCTCTAGTTAGTCAATAAACTGACTTTTGTTGTTGTTGTCAGAAATGTTTGAAGCATTGCTCCTCTTTGAACAAAAGAAGGACAACAAATTCACCTACCTGGGTGATACTGGCTGGAGTGGTAAGCAGTCCTGACTGGGTATCGGGTTCAGAGACTGGAGATGACCCCATCACTTCTGTGGGTGAAAAACACACAAGATTTGGGTATTTATCCTTTTTTTTCTTTTATGATTGGGGCAATGAAAATACTAAAGTGGAAAAATGTGACAATAGCCAATTTTTAAAGAATTCTAAAAGTAATCATTAAAAAATTGGGTCTGTGGGGCCTGAACTCTGGGCTGGGTGCTGTCCTTCAGCTCTTCAGCTCAAGGCTAGCGCTCTACCACTTGAGCCACAGCACCACTTCCAGCCTTTTCTGCTAATGTGGTGCTGAGGAATCGAACCCAGGGCCTCATGCATGCAAGGCAAGCCCTCTGCCACTGAGCCACCCATGCACTGAAGGACAGACATGAAGGTCACATCTGTAGGTGGATGTGATAAGAATTTCAGTGAAGGGGAGGGTAAAATGGGGAGAAGTTGGTCAGTGGGTGCAAGCATGTGTGTGAACAGAGAGGACAAATGAGCTGGTCTGCTATTGCTCAGTGAGTGACTATAGATATGGCAAGATCACTAGAAGCTTCCTGAGTGCTCTCATCGCAGAGAAAGGATAAATGTATGAATATGCAAAAGGATGATTTGACTACATAATGTATACACATAGCACATCAACACGCTGTACTCATAAATATGCACACAATGTATCATGTAGCTACTCAGGAGGCTGATATCTTAGGATTGTGGGGTAAAGACAGACACTGGGCTTCATCTCTAATTAACATAAAAATGCTGGACTGGAGGTGTGGAGAGTGTGAGGCCTATAGTTTAAACCTCATTACCAACACACACACACACACACACACACACACACACACTACAAAAAGAATAGTTGGAAGGTAGATTTGCAAGTGTTCACTTTTACTGTGTGTATTTATGCCAAGCCTTGAGCCTGATTGGTAAGGCCAGTAGTGATAAAAATCCAACTAAGTTGCAGATTCATGGTGGCTCATGCCTGTAATCCTAGCTACTCAGGAATCTGAGAGCTGAGCATTGTAGTTGAAAGCCAACAGAAGCAGGAAAAGTCCATGAGACTCTTATCTCCAATTAACTATGTCCCAAAAGACAGAAGCAGAGCTGTGGCTCAAGTGGTAGAGCACCAACCATGAACACAAACACTCAGAGACAGTATCTAGAATCAGCCTCTCCCCCCCCCCAAATATGACTAAGCTGACTAAAAAAGAAATGGTGAGGATGAATCCCATAATGAAAGACCAATTGTGGAGTCTTCGTTCCATTCTAAATCCTGATTCTCAGGACCCTCCCTCTCCTTCAAGATTCCACAAAGGGAATATCCCAGTCAATGAGCTGATCTCTGAGCTGAATGTGAGCTTGACCTCTTTTGTCCTTGGCCTTGTCCCTGAGACCTTTGTGAGTGGGAAGAGTTTGCAGAGCTAAATCAGAGAAACAGAATTGGCCAACAACCATAGTTTCATGCGGCCATGCCTATTTCCTTGTCCACCTATGCCACTGTCTATGGGGTTGCTAGTGAATGCCAGCCTCCTCTCTCTTTAGGTACCCTTTGAGGCTCCTGAGGGTGTCTGATTGCCTTAATGACCACTTTGGGACATTCTCTCTTTGCTGTTACTCTCTCCCCAGGAGGCTGCCTTATATAACTGTGTCAGAGGTTCCTGGCTTCTGTCTGGGATGGCTTAGAATCATTAAGAATCTCTTCAGGCCTGGAGAGCGTGAAGAGACCTTGCTGCTTCTAGCCCTAGGAAGCTGCCTCCTTCCTGTGAGTAGAGGCGAGCTCTTAGGAACAGTTCCTTTATCAAATGCTCTTCAGATGATCCGATTTCAATGTAACATCTGTCTCCTGCTGGGATCTGACCAACTTATTAGATCAGAGAATCAGTTTAGTTTGTGTCAAGGGAATGGCATTATCCAGGGGTTCTCTCCGCAGGAACCCAGGGGCAGACTGTGGATGACCTGTGCAGGTCTGAAAAAGGTGGATTCTCTAGGTGCTGTCGATAGAAAATAGTCACCAAAGGCTTGTTAAACCAGTTCTAGGGGAGTGAAGAGGAACAGAAATACTGCCACCTGTGGTGTACCTGTCATAGTAGCCATGACTGGCTTTATAGGACCTCAGTTAAAAATGACAATTTTCATGAGACAGTCAAGCTTCTCTGTGGGAGTTGAGGTGAAGCTTGGAATTGCGACATGGCCCACTGACCATCAGAGATCTGTGCTGTCCCCGCGTCCAAGGACTGGTCTTCTACTATTCTGCTGAGGAGTTTTTTGAGGTCTACAGGTAGGAGATGGATTTCTGGTCGTTTGTCCTCTTCCACGGTTCCTTGGTGGGCTCCTTCAGGTTCAATTTTGTTGGAATCGAAAGGCAGGAGATCACTTGGGGGGCGTTTTGCTTGGTCTCTCTTAAAGATGGCTGCCAGTTGTACCTCGATGGAGTTTGAACTGCGAACACAGAGAACACATCCCACTGAAAGCCATTGGTGGCTGCAGCCTCTAGCAGCCTCTCAAGAAGTGTCCTACTTAAAACGGTGCATGTTTAGCAGACATTTGAAGGCGTGAAAAAAATAGACATATATACATATTTTATTTCTGAAATTTAGTTTGGAAATTGAGTGCCAGCTTCAGGAAGGAGCTGAATATTTCCTATATTTATATCATTTTCCTTATATTGTATTTTCTTTTCCTTTTTTTGCCTTTTATTTTATTTTTTAACACTTTTTTTTGGTGAGAATACCGTACAGAGGAGTTACAATTACATGGGCAAGATAACGAGTACATTTCCCCTTCCCATCTCTTCCCATACTCCCCCCACCTCCTCCCACCCGACCCTCCGCCCCCCACCAAAGTTGTAAAGTTCTTTTTTCGACATAACGACTTGTACATCTGGTTGTTGCAATGGGTCCACCTGTATCCCTATTTAAACAATTTGTTTTTTCCCTTCCCCTCCACAAATTATACCAACATCAAATACAGTGAAAGCAGGGTTTATACTGTGTGGGAGGGACATACAAAGCAACAAAGAAATCATCTTATAAATATGTTAGAAACAATCAGATGAAAGAAAAAAACAGTTGAATACATATCTTGGGGTTCATTTCCCTAATATAACTTATCTGACCTTTTCTGCTTGACTCAGACATACACTAGTTATTGCAAATAAGGGAAACTATGGGATCTATGTTTCTTTGGGCCTGGCTTACTTCACTTAATATAATTTTTTCCAAGTCTTTCCATTTCCTAACAAATGGGGCAATGTCATTCTTTCTGATGGAGGCATAGAATTCCATTGTCTATATATACCACATTTTCTTCCACTGAGCCACCTTCCCAGCCCTATACCACATTTTCTTGATCCATTCATCTACTGGGGGGCATCTGGGTAGCTTCCATATCTTAACTATGGTAAATAATGCTGCAATAAACATAGTTGTGCTGGTAGCTTTAGTGTGGTCTTGTTTGTGATCATTTGGGTAAATGCCCAAAAGTGGGATTGCTGGGTCATAGGGGAGTTCTATGTGAAGTCTTTTATTAGAGTTCTTGATTATAGATATTCTACCTGGGGTGAGGTGGTATCTCAATGTTGTTTTGATTTGCATTTCTTTATGGCTAGGGAGGTTGAGCATTTCTTCATGTGTCTCTTGGCCATCCTTCTTTCCTCTTCAGTTGTATTTTCTTTATATCATTTGGAAAATAATGTAAGTGGTCCAATGTTAATGGACCCGTGTGTGTGTGTGTGTGTGTGTGTGTGTGTGTGTGTTTAAAAATCATGAAGTCAGGAAAAGAGATGAATTGTCCTTTCTTTGAAAAATAGCCGTCTCTATGAAGCTCTATGAAATACCAATATAATTTGCAGTAGTAGGACAAAAGGTTATGCATACTGAAACCAGTTCTGTAGGCCATTTGTTTACACAAAGTAATTTTTAGGAAGAACAAAGCCTAAACAATACTTTGGTTGGGCAAGGTGGTAGATGTAATCCCAACACTGATAAGGCTGAAGCAGAAGGAGAGGCAATCTGAGGCTAGTAAGGACTGCACAGTAAGACTCTCTAAAATAAACAACACAAAGAAACCTACAAAAATAAGCAGAAGGATTGCATAAAATAACAGACGGAAGAAAAGAGAAAAGGGGGAAAATCAATACATTGTATGGTTCACTGGGTTTACTATCATAGTTATAAACAGAATGCCTTTTTGTATGCAAAAACAGAAACAAGATTATAGCTTGTCCTTGAGCTATAGCTCTGGCTGCAAGAATCAGGGCTGGCCTTTTGGTTCATGCTGTAAATCTACACAGAGGACTGCAGAAGTATTTTAAAGGCCACCGGGATGGATTATGTGTGTTTTTGACATTTCTTCAGACCACACAATTGGGTAGAGTTCATTATTTCACTGGTCAATTGTAGGATCTCAATTACTGAGCACTGGAAAGAATGGAGTATCCTTTCTTACATTCAAAATGACCTTGAAACCAAGGAACACATTTGTTTCTCTGTATTAACGCAGATGGGTGCGCGTTTGTGTGTGCAGTCACACGAAATCCCCTTACAAGCAATATGTAAGAAATTGTTAAGTCATATTTGCATTGCAACCACACATTTTCACATTTATCTAGTTAGATCTTGGGCTTGATAGGATCTTAACCAAATCAATGTTTCCCTGACTTTCTCATATAGATTTTTTTTCTAATGATATAAAGGTTTAAACTCAAGATCTTGTAGTGGCTCATTTAGCTGGAACGCTACCACTTGAGCCATACCCCCAGTCCAACTTTTGGCTGATTATTTTGGAGATGAAGTCTCATGAACTTTTCTGCCCCAGCTGCCTTTGAACCAAATCTCAGCCTCCTGAGATGCTAAGATTATAGTCATGAGCCACTGACTCCTGTCTTCACATAGATTATTGACCTGTGAATTTTTATGATTATTCTAATCAACTGCTTCCATTTAAATAAGAAACTTCTAAAAACACATTGGTTTGACACAACCATAATACATAAATACTGTTTGTACAAAAACTAGCATATACATTTGTGGAGGAAAAATATACTGTATTTAAAACATTTAAAAGAATTACCCATCTCTTTCTTTCTTTGGTCTTCATTTTATCCATCATATGCCACAGAAATATGCAAAGGAAGAGAGAATTTTTATAAGACTCATTGAAGTAATTAACGAATTATTTCATATACACAACTTTTTCCCTTGCACTTTCTTTTATGTGTGCCTGGAGCTTTGAAGAAAACATACAAAATGCCATCAGAACTTGGGTGGAAACTCTGAAAACTATTTGAATCTCAGGATGTAAGTATCATTCTGCCATGTTTATGATGAGAATTTGAGATTTTATTCTTCATGTATCACTGGTTAACGAAGTCGCAAATTGACTACATGTATTATGCTTTAGGTGGTACTATTGCTAGGGAGTTTACAAAAAGGTTTTTTTGTTTTTTGTTTTGGTCGGTTGTAGGGCTTGAACGCTGGGCTTGGGCGCTGTCCCTGCACTCTTCAGCTCAAGGTGAGCACTATTCTGCTTGAGCCACAGTACCACTTCCAGTTTTCTAGTGGTTTATTGGAGATAAGAGTCTCACAGACTTTCCTGCCCGGGCTGGCTTTGAACTGCGATCCTTAGATCTCAGCCTCCTGAGTCACTAGGATTATAGGCGTGAGCCACTGGCACCCAGCTCAAAAAGTGTATTATAAACACCTGTCTTTTTTCCATTAAATGATTAGTAGTTTATTCTTGAAAGTAATAATCTGCTATTGACCCCTAGAACTAGTTTTTGGCCAATAATAATAATAATTCTTCTTCTTCTTATTAGTGTGTGTGTGTGTGTGTGTGTGTGTGTGTGTGGACTAGAGCTTGAACTCAAGGCCTAGGTATTATCCCTTAACATTTTCAATCTAGGCTGGTACTCTGCCACTTGAGCCACACCCTCACTTCTTGCTTTTTGCTGGTTAACTGGAGAGAAGAGGTTGACTTTGAATGGCAACTCACAGATCTGTCTTTTGAGTAGGCAGGATTACAGGTGTGAGGCTCAGTGCCTGGCTGAATTCTTCTTTAGTGGATTCATCACACAAGCCCCACTTCACAGATATGGGACTACATTCAGAGAGGCAAAGTTTCAGTTAGATGTGGCTGAGGTGGGATTTGAACCCTGGCCTGAGCCTATTTCGCCATGCCACTATTTGCTGGTGCCTAAAAAGAAGGCCCTTTGGTCCATACGGCCAGAACCATTTTAGACTTCGGTGAGCCTATGTGTGGATTTGCTTTAGAAGCCATGTTCAGCTTTTTCGTTTTCCATTTCAAATGCTGGTTGCTTACAAAAATAGCCTACACTTTAGTTGGGTTTTAGGTTAGGGTGACAGTGGTCCTTGGTCATTCTGTGTGGACTGTCAATTCATCCGCCTTTCTTCCTCTCTTGTCACAAGACAGAGATAGACATGCTGTAGACACTTCCACTTTCTACCATGTAGACTGGTCAATCTAGGATTGACCAATCAACACTGAGCTCTGTGAACAGCCTTCCTTCTCCACCAATCAGACATCCATCCACTAGCAGTAGCTGCCCCAGGCTTGTTTTCATCTATAGTTTGTAATCTATGGAACTCAGAGAGATGCCAGACTTCTTGGGCCAAGACCCTCGTCTTGCAAACATTTTTTTAAATTTTCAATTGCTTTATAGATGTATCAATGTGTAAACAAATCGGGCACATCTGCCCTTTCCCCCACCCTCTTGATATAACTGTTCATCTCTTCTCTGGAACTACAGATCAGTTTGCATTTTGTACAGTTTACTATAAATGGAATCATAGGACACTTCTGTCTGGCTTCTTTCATTCAACATAGGCTTTTTGTTTTTTTTGAGAAGTCGCCATGTTGTTCTGGATTCCATTACTACAGTAAGGATGATTCCACAGTGAAAACTTGCTTCAGTTGATTTTCTTTTCTTTCTTTCTTTTTTTTTTTTTTTTGGGTCCGGTCATGGGGCCTGAACTCTGGGCCTGGGTGCTGTCCCTCAGCTCTTCAGCTCAAGGCTAGCACTCAGCACTCTACCACTTGAGCCACAGCACCACTTCCGTTTTTTTTTCTTTTTGCTTATGTGGGGCTGAGGAATTGAACCCAGGGCCTCGAGCATGCAAGGCAAGCGGTCTACCACTGAGCCACCTTCTCAATCTTTCTTTCTTTCTTTCTTTCTTTCTTTCTTTCTTTCTTTCTTTCTTTCTTTCTTTCTTTCTTTCTCTCTCTCCTTCCTCCCTTCCTTCCTTTCCTTCTTTTCCTTCTTTCCTCCCTTCCTCCCTTTCTCCCTTTCTCTCTCTCTCCTTTTCTTTCTCTCTCTCTCTCTTTCTTTCTTTCTTTCCTTCTTGTTGGTTCTGGGGCTTGAACTCTGGGCCTAGGTGCTGTTCCTTAGCTCTTCAGCTCAAGGCTAGCAATCTACCACTTGAATTACAGCGACACTTCCAGTTTTCTGAGTGATTTATTAGAGATAAGAACCTTTCCTGCCTAGGCTGGCTTTGAACTGCAATCCTCAGATTTCAGCCTCCTGAGTAGCTAGGATTACAGGCCTGAGCCACTAGTGCCAGGCCTTGGGTTATTTTTCTGTTGCTCTGATGATGGAGCATTTTTGCTTGTTTCCAGCTCTTGGATATTATGCATGAAGCTGCTAAGGATATTTGTGTACCGGCCTGTGGAACACTCTATTCTTGTACTAGATTGAATGACTATTGACACTTTCCCATGCTGGCTGTAAAGGTAAAGCGACATTTACAGCAGAGCGTATGCTCATAGATTTAGAGGTGGCCAGGGAATGAAGGAGAAGGGGTGCACTTGAGGGGAGGACGCTGCACACACTTGTGCAATCATGCCAGGGACGGCCCTTTATACTACGAATGTGTGCTGAGAGACGAACTGTAAAAACAATTGTGCTAATAGCAGACATCCTAATGACTCTCCAATTGTGGGGAGGGATTCAAAGGATCTCACTGATGGGTAAGTACTTGTGAACTTTGGAGTCAGATTTTATACAAGTGGAAGGAAAGATATTACCGTGGCACTCACAGGATTTTCAGTCTTCTGTAGGAATCTGGCTTCAGAAGGAAAGCAATTTCCTTATAATAAGTTTACTTTACAATATCCTGAGCACTCCTGTTAATGACTGAAAGTTTGTTCTGCTCCAGAGCTAATTGGTTATTACATTCAAGGGCAAAATAATGCCAGTACCGGGGATTGAACTCAAGACCTTGGTGCTGTCCCTTAGACGTTTCCCTCAAGGCTGATGCTCCACCAATCTGAGCCACAGCTCCACTTCTGTTTTTCTTTTTGGTGGGTTAGTTGGAGATAAGATTCTCACAGATTTTTCTGCCCCAGCTGCCTTCGATTCCTGATACTTAGAACTCAGCCTCTAGAGTAGCCAGGATTGCAGATGTGAGCAACCAGTGCCCTGTCCAGGCATAAAATATTCTCTGGGGGACCCATGTACTCCTAACACAATTAAAATCAGCGGTAAAATGTGAATCACACTAGCTTCATAAGCACCTTTGGCAGAAATGAACATAAATCCTTACAGAGATAAACACCGGGGGAAAATTCAGCTTCCAGTGATAAATCTTTAAAAGCTTTAGCATGGAAAGTTTCATCTTCTAACATTTTGGTTTTCTTCTGAAATAGATTTTGTAAATTGGTTTTTCATTTATTGAAGGGAGGCGCTATGAACATTTAATCATTCACCAGGAGAAGTATTCTCATAGATTCCTTCGGCTTTAGATTAAAATTTTCTTCTTTAACTGCAGTGGTTTATTTAGAAGATCTTGCCATCGATGCAAAATATTTCTCTATCACTTTTTATTTTTCTCTAATCCATCTGATTTCACGTGGAGAACTGCAGAGTAGTGTCTTGAAACAAAAATGAATTTGTTTTGATAGACAATGAGAGTTTCATCTTTGATTACTTTTACTTTTCAATATTTTCTTCCTCTGGGCAAATCAATAGAGCTTTACAGATGGGGAGAAGAAGTTAGGTGTGTGCACCCGGAAGCTCTTTTTTACAAGCATTGCTGCCCCGGAAGCTCTTTTATTTTATTTTTTTTTTTAAATAGTTTCATTATCTTTCAGTATTTGTACAAAGTAGTTGCCATTCAACAAAGTTTATGAATACAAAGCATCTTGACCAGTGTCACCTTTTTTTTTTTTTTAAACCTTGTTACATCTAGCATCCTCCTTAAGATGGGAGGTAGGAGAAATTCTGGTGAGGTTGTCTCCATTCTCAGATCCCTTCGGAGCATGGAATCTTAACCTGTTCACACCAAGACTCATATTTACTTGGTGGCTTGTTAAAACAAATAGAGGGGCACATCATCTTGTTTTTCCCCCAAACTATCTTGTTTTTAATTTTTGTTTTTGGTCCGGTCGTGGGGCCTGAACTCTGGGCCTGGGCGCTGTCCCTCAGCTCTTCAGCTCAAGGCTAGCGCTCTACCACTTGAGCCACAGCGCCACTTCCGGCATTTTTCTTTTTGCTTATGTGGTGCTGAGGAATCGAACCCAGGGCCTCAGGCATGCAAGGCATGCGCTCTACCACTGAGCCACCTTCTCAGCCCCCAAACTATCTTATGACCCTTCCTATAGATTTTGGAAATAATGAGCATCTAGGGGGAGACATAAAAATTTTTGCCCCAAATCCCTTGAACCTGCCTTACTCTTGGGGTAGAACTGGTTGCATGCCTGTTTGTGCCAAAGCTATGGAAACAGGGTGACATGACATGGCTTTATGATTTCATTTCTTTATTTAAAAGTTTAATTTAATAATATCCAAGATGTAATATATTACTGAAGTTCATATGTTCAAATAAGGTGAAAGATCTTTGTTAGAAATCTGGCTTTTAACCCTGTGCCCATAGGGGCCGTGTTTTCTCCATTGAAGCTTTCCTATCTCTCTTGGGTAACACGGTGAGAGTTAAACTTGGGTAGGAAGCCAGGCAACCTGAAACCCAAGCAATTCTTTGCTGCTTGTGAGATATTTTCCCAAAAGGTTCATTAGAGTCATTGTCAAGGTCAGCTCTGGAGGAGGCAGCATTTCTGACTCCCAGAAGGAGGAAGGAAGACACTTCCGTGCTAACTCTTAAAAATCACTGGGAGTCATATTCTAATTAGACACTTCCTTTATGTGAAATGTATTCAGTCCTCAGGACTTGGCAGAGCTAAACAATGGAGGAAAAAGACCTTATAATTCTCATGACATCTCTTTTAAAATTAGATAAGAAGAAAGTAATTTCAAAATTGAGAAGAGTCCCATTCTCTTACTTACCTAAATCCTAACACATGGATTTCTTTGAATCCTGGAACTTTCTTAAATTCCTTTTGCAACTGCAGAGAGAAAGATATTTGTGACATGTTCTTTGGTTCCACTGGGGCAGATTACCAAAGTGAAAAAAAGCCTAAATACTTTTGATGAGCTAGGGGAGAAAATGAAAATGGAAAATTGAAACTTGAAACAACCAAAGAGGTCAAACTCTTTGTTCTCAGTTATTTCTGAAACTCAGAGGAAATTATTTTGCTATTTATTTAGAAGACATGACTGGGTAGTTCTGAGCTGCTTTTATAGTTACTTTATATAATATAGAAAATAACTTTAAGGTGGTATTTGGAGAAAACTTTTCTTGCTACTTGGTAATTTTACTGACACAGAATAATATATTTTCAAACTCTGATTAGAGTTAATTATAGTATTGTTACTATCATGTGTTTTGAATCAAATTGGATGAACTGAGAAATATTTATCATATTAATGATATTCTTAACATCAGAACGACTGCTGTGACTAATTGAACAAGCAGATATATTCTAATCTAATAGATTAGATTTTCTCTTGGAGTTTTGTAGATGTCCAATAAGTTTTAAACATTTGTTCTTATTAATGATTTAGAATTATACGCAACCACTCCCTTGCCCTCGCCCTATGTCTCCTCCATGCACCCTGGCCTTTCCAGGTAGCTCTCTCCTAGCTAAAGTCTCTTGGCACTCATTAAATCCTGTGTCACTCGGTGTTCCCTCTTCACCATGGCTGTCCTTTCCTGGCTCTTCTTCCATCCCTCTCAGCAGTGCCTCAGTCTCTTTGCCCCATTCTATTCCTGTTTTAACTCAATCTAGTGAATCTGCAAGCTCCCATCCCTAAACCTGCAGTGAACCCCATAAGCAAAGCAGCCAGCTCTGTACGAGGCCCCATACCCTACCACCCATCCACCTTTCCTGCAGAAAGGGTGGAAGGCGAGAGCAACGAGGGAGAAGAGAAGCTTGGTGGGAGAACCCATTGGACAGTGAGTAGGAACCTCACCTTGCCTTCCCTCACTCTCTTGTGGCTCCAGCAATCACATGACATATGAACATCTCCACATTAGCCACTAACTGAACCTGGCCAAAGCAAGGTCACTCTCTTCCTCTGCAGTCTGCCTTAGCCCTAGACCTGACTCCGCCTCAGTGAAGGTCAGGAGTATGCATGCTGGCCGCACCAGAGAACCCAGCAGCCTTAGATCCTGTTTCCCTACGATGCTTGCTACCATGTGATCACCAGACTCCTGTTAGTGTGACTCCCACGAGGTGTTTGCTCCCATCGTCTCTGCATCTTTCTCATTCCCGTGGCTGACACACCCTACCTCTGAAACTATTGAAATGGGTTTCTTGATTATGGAGGAGAAAGAAGAGGAGGAGGAGGAAGTTGAGGAGGAGAAGAAGGAAAAGGAGGAAGAAAGGAAGAAAGGGGAGGAAAATTCTTTCCCTTTCTAAATTAATTGTTCTATAATCGGTGAATTTTGGGTAAATATCCCAATATGGGCTGCACTCTCTGTTGAATAAGATCTAATTCTTTTTTTTTTTTTCCATCCTGGAGCTCAGGAGCTGTCCCTGAGCTTCTTTTGCTCAAAGAAGCTAGCAGTCTACCACTTGAACTACAGCTCCACTTCCAACTTTATTTTTGGTAATTTATTAGCTAATTTATTTGGCAATTTATTTATTTATTTTTTGGTAATTTATTAGAAATAAGAGTTCTATAGACTTTCCTGTCAAAGCTGGTTTTGAACTGTGATCCTCAGATCTCAGCCTCCCCAGTAGCTAGGATTTCAGGTGTGAACTAGTGGTGCCCAGCAGTTTTAATTGTTTTAGAAAGTCTCTTTTGAATCAGTGCCTCTCATTCCATGCAGTCTGGCTGTCATATTTCCTGTCATTTTTTTATGCTCTAGTTCATTTTACACTATATACCATATGAGGTGTGTACCTTGTCCATTTCCTATTCTAAGATCATGCTCCCTGCCCCATGATCTCCCACTCCTCTGTGTGTGTGTGTGTGTGTGTGTGTTGGCTTTGCGGCTTGGACTCAGGGCCTCACACTCTTGTGTGGCTTTTTCACTGAAGGCTCACACTCTACCTCTTTAGCCACACCCATATTTCTAGAGTTTTGCTGGTTAGTCGGAGATAAGGGTCCCATGGGCTTCTCTTCCCCAGGCTGGCTTTGAACTGAAATCTCAGGAGGCTACTCAGCCTCCTGAGTAGCTCTGATTACTGGCATGAGCCACCAGCACCTGGCTCTAAGTCTTGTTTTTACATTGTAACCTTTCTTACCCTTAGCGTCTAGCCGATTGTGGTTCCATATAGGGAATGAGTAGATAATGTATAAATTGAGTGGATGTCTCCTTCCTATCTGTTCACTCCACTGAGTGTCACCATGGTGCTGTCACCACATCTAACATCACTGCATCTGTGTTTCTGGTACCCAGGATCAGAGCAGTCATGTGTACTCAGTCAATCCCCAAATCAGTCGAGGAACTGATTAATGGCCAAGAGCAAAGATACAGCTGGTCCCAGACCCCTGGGTAGAAATCTTGGCTATCTCAGGCAATAGCTTTGGCTTATATCATGGATTACTCCCCGCTCCTCACCGCCCCCCCCTCCACCACACCCCATGGTGGACTGATTCACTTTCTCATTGTACTTTCTTGTATCAATATTAACACTAGTTTTTATTTCCTGAATATCTACAGTGACGAAAATGACTGAAGTTTGGGGGCAACAAGGAGATACTTGGGTTTAAATATGGGTTCTATTAGCTAGCTTCTAGCTCTAAGACTGCGTTTATTGCTTAGTCTCTTTACATCTTGGTCTCCTTAGGCCCCAAGGGGATAACCAAATCCATTTGTTAAGGGATCACTAGCAAGTCACAGGTGCCTGGCACACATCTGGCAGACTGGCAAGCTGGTGAAGCTGTGTGATTTATATGCTTCTGCTCCACTTGCCTATGGGATTCCAGCTGCACCAAAGCTTGTTCTTCTCTGTTTCCCCAGAGATCACAGAACCTGGGACCTGGCAAGGACACAGATACCCTTCAATTAAAAAAAAACTCAGTGGGAAAAAGCACGATGATAAGGTTCCCTCCACGGACCAGCAGGAGATCTGAAGAGAGCTGGATCTCCTGATCTGAAAAGACTGAGAAGCATCACTCTTTGCAGAGCTACTCTTCCGCCTGTGAAAATAGTCCATAAGTGCCCAAAGCTTTGCAGAGCCTGGGGCTACCCGGTGAGCAGTGGGGACCAGCCCTGGGAAGGCAGTGGCTTGTGCCTGGAACTCTCCAGAGCGCCCAATGCTCTGTTGGAGGAGGCAGGGCGGGAGGGTTTACTATTTGCGTGGTCCAGGCCTCTTCTGTGAACATCTCTGTCATCAATTAAGAGTCAGCTTTGCTTAGGAGGGTGTAAAAGATGACCCCCCCCAAAAAGCTGTGGGTTAATACTGCTTGGGTTATCTTTAGGGCGAACCTTCCGATTGTGCTCTAAGCACTAAATTGCTAATTAAGTGCCCAGTTAATCTTACTAATAATACTAATGCACAAGAGGTTTGCCTGATTCTGCTGGAATGGATGTTAACGGGCTATTATATATATATATATATATATATGTATAAAAGCAGCTGTGTTGAGTTTCCCTGAATGTTTACACAGGAGAAAGTGTTCAGACAACAGCTAAGCGATCCTGTTTGACATTTGTATTAAATTGCTCATTAGGTTTATTGTGAAAATTAAATTGCTGCAAAGCACTGTCCATTAATTCCTGGTTAGTCCCTAATAGATGTGCTAATGCAGATGGTGGGCTGTGGGGGTGCTCTGGGGTGTGTGTGATTTTCTAATGGCTGACCCTGTGGTGGAGGTGATCTGGATCAGGAGCTGGGAGGGGACTAAAGGCTGCAGACAGAGGGACTTCCTTTTAGAGGAATGAGACTGCACAAAGCAAATATCAGGATTGAGAAGCTGAGTCTTTGCAATAGGGGTGAGCAAGTTACAGTCTTTGACTAGTTAATATTTTGTTTTGTTTTTGTTGGTTGTGGGGCTTGAATGCTGGGCTTGGGTGCTGTCCCTGAGCTCAAGGCTAGCACTCTATCACTTTGAGCCATTGTGTCACTTCCGGTTTTCTGAGTGGTTTATTGGAGATAAGAGTCTTGTGGACTTCCTGCTCAGGCCGGCTTTGAATTGCAATCCTCAGATCTCAGCCTCTTGAGTAGCTAGGATTACAGGCTTGAGTCACTGGTACCTGACCTGTCTAATTTGCAGAGACTAGAAAAGGGGTGGCCAATGGGGTATGATCCAATGGGTGTTTCTCCAGAAATATGCATCTAGGAAATAGGAGGAACTGGATGATGGCCAAGAGCAAGGATGCAGGTGTGACAGACTGCCTGGGTAGAAATCTTGGCTATACCAAGTAACAGATCTGCCCTTTGTCTGGCAGATTAGTCTTCTCAGGCCCCAGTTAAGAAATAGTTGGGTCCTGTGCCTTATGCCTGTAATCCTTGCTACTCTTAAGGCTGATATCTGAAAGTTGTAGAAAGAAGCCAGCCTGAGGTTTATGAGATTCTTAGCTCCCATTAACTAGCAAAAATCCAGAACTGGAGGTGTGGCTCGAGTAATAGAACAGCAATATTGAGCAAAAAAGCTAAAGGAGATCCCTCTGGTTCTACCAAGCCATGGTGGTGCTGTGGCTCAAGTGATAGAACACTAGCCTGGAGTGAAGAAAAAAAGACAAATTTCAGGGACAGGGCCCAAGGATGAGGTTCTGAGTTCAAGCCCTGGGACAGGCACATTTGCACATACCTGTGTGCACGCATGCACATACACGTCCACAAATATAAATACAAAATTAAACCTTGTGATTGTGTGATCTCTCAGTGCCAATGTTTTGCAGTTACCTTGTTAATAATTACATTCCCCTGCTCTCTATTGGGGCATTAGAGTTCAAGATTGTTCTGTCTCAAGGATGCTCAGAGTTGGCCAGGAGGGAAGGAGCCACAGAAGTAGCAACACAGACTTGTAAACAAACCAGTGCCATCACGGTCATGGTGAGCCATGTGTACCGTGCTGTGGCCGCAATGCACATTGGGAGTTAGTATGGGCAGTAGAGGGGCTCTGTTTCCACCCCTACTCCTAACTCCAGGACCTAAAATGACACTTGGAGGAAACAAGAAGTGGGGGGGGGGAATGTGCACATAGTTTGCATTTCTGGAAACTGGAATGCGAAGGAGAGAGATGATTCAAAACTGTTCCAAGACATGGCTGGAAAAAAAGGCAGGAGCTTATCATTGGTATGTAAGTGTGACATTCAACATTGTAGTTGGATTTAGCCTGCAGGGAATTAGAGCCCTTGAATCCAACCAGGGCCAGATAGATAGATGGCTGATTGGAGATGGAGGAGACAAGGTGGGGAAATTCCTCCTTTAGTAATTGATGTCACATAATAGAGCTGCTTTCACCATCAGCCATGAAAAATGTCATGTTCTTAAATAGCATTGAACTACAAAAGCAGAAATATGGGTTACACCTCTAATTCCTGGCCACTCAGCATTCTGAGGCCTAAGGATCATGGTTCAAAGCCAGCCCTGGCAGAAAACTCTATGAGATTCTTCTCTCTCATTACTCAGCAAAAAGCCAGAAGTAGAATGATGACTCAAGTGGTAGAGTGCCACCCTTGAGTGAAAAAGCTAAGAAATAGTATCCAGGGTCCTAAGTTCAAGCCCCAGGACTGGCATCTACCCCCCACCCCAAATACTTAGTAAAGACATAGTAGATGAATTAAAAATTCATATTATAACCCAGCATATTTTCTCATTGGTCTCTATGGGCTCATTTTATTATTTATTTTTTTCTTTAAATATTTTAATCTGCTTTACTGATGTTGGATTGACATACAAATAGTGAACCATGCCAGCCATGGTAGTGTCTACCTATAATCCCAGAACCTAGGAGGGGAAGGTCGGATGATTGAGAGTTCAAGGCTAGCCTAGGCTAGAGTGAGTGCTTGTCCGAAAAAAGAATCATACAATGTGTATATCTGAATGAATGTTGGAATTAGCACTGATATAATGTCCTTCAGATACACAGGATGTCTGTAGCTGTTTGTTACATGAAGTCTAAAAACCTACTGATATTCAGAGAAAGCCTCCATGTGAATAATGTCTAAGAATGGAAAAGTGACAATGGACAGTTTTCAACTTGGGGACTTCTAGTGTTTGTTTCCTTTTTTTTTTTTTTTAAGCAAGTACTTGTACGAGAACAGTAGGGTTTTTGGGTTTGTTTTTGTCGGTCGTGGGGCTTGAACTCTGGGCCTTGGCTCTGCCCCTCAGCTCTTCAGCTCAAGGCTAGCAGCCTACCCCTGGAGCCACAGCACCACTTGTTTGTTTCCTTTTTGATGGTTAAAATAAATTTCTAGGCATGAGAAATTGGAGCCAAAAGGATGTAAGTGCTGCTGACATACTGACTGCTAGCCTCCTGTGACGACCTGATGTGGGGTATGTGGTGTGGGCTGGGTCCACTCACCCACCTGCAGCCGTGACTTTTCTGCCAGTTCTTGGTGGTATGGAGATCTGGGATCAGCGAGTTCTGCCTTGAACTTCTGGTTTGGGAGAAAGATGCTGAACTGTACTTTCTGATCGAGCGGGCCTTCAGACACGTGAGTGAATCCTGCTTCTCTTTCCTGAGTGAACACAAACAAACAACAAGCCAAAACCCCAAAAGATTTCTGTTCATGCAAACCACACAGCTATTTTACTATATTAGTTATTATATCAAGAAGCTGATTGTGAATAATCACAAGCCTTTGGAATAAAAGTCCTATGAACTAGAAGCAGCCTCAAATTTTCCTGAGAGACAAAATAACAAAGCTCCAATGAGTTAACAATTTTATGGCCCAAGTCCTCATGACTTCACTTACATACAAACATATACACTCCTGCTTTCTCAAATCAAGGGCTATTTTCATATATCAATGTTGCCAAGCACCAGTGGCTCATGCTTATAATCAGGAGACTGAGATATGAGGATCAAGGTTTGAAGCTAGCTTGGACAGGAAAGTCTGTGAGACGTCTATCTCCAATTAATCAGCAAAAACCCAGAAGTGGAGCTGCTGCTTAAGTGGTAGAGCACCAGCCTTGAGTGGGAAAAGCTAAGGGACAGTGCCAAGACACACACACACATACACACACATACACACACACACACACATACACACACACACTGTGGGATTGTCTACATTATTGTGTGAGTTTATAAATACTCTATTGAGAACTGGATTAGGGAAAGTAACCTATGGACGCTGACAGATTAATATAATTCTTTTTATAGAGAAGAGTCTAGACTGGTTTAATGATGGAGCATTTGCACCTAAACTTCACACTGAAACTAGTTGAAAAATCCTGGCAAATAGCAGCATTTGCGATTTCTCTCAGCAGGAATGGCAGATTTGGGTCACCTTTAGAGGCAGGCATATGGCTGAGAACAGAATCACTGTTTCCAGGACCTGGATTTGGCCTTGACCATAGAGGGCCAGGGCCTAGAGCATCCTTGTCTGTGGGTCTGGGAAGAAGTGGGTGGCTTTCGTCACTCCGGATTCCCATGTACTCCCAGGACACAGAGAGAGGCCTGGGGTCAGTTTTCAAATGTGGAGTTGGACAGATTTTCAGCCTCAGATATCCAGGTGATACGGGGATATTTACAGCTTCAAGAAATATGTTAGAAAAATGTCTGGAGAAATTAAAGAAGCTGAACGATGAGGACAATCAATGGAAATTGCCATGACAACAGAGATGGACGCGGGTGTGTCAAGAATAAATATTTGGCTGGGTGCTAATGGCTCACACCTGCAATCTAAACTATTCAGGAAGCTGAGATCCCAGGAACATGGTTCAAAGCCAGTCTGGGTAAAAAAGTCTGCAAGACTCTTATTTTGAATTAACCACCAAAAAGCCAGAAGTGGAGTTGTGGCTCAAGTGGTAGAGTGTCAGCCTTGAGCAGGCTCAAGTGGTAGAGTATCAGCCTTGAGCAGACACATCTCTAAGATAATGCCCTGAATTCAAGCCACAGGACTGACATAAAAAAGAAAAAAGAAAGGGAAAACTCAAACCCATACCAGAGTTCAAGCGAGTGGATGCTTTCCTTCTCATTTCATGTCATAGAGTTCCTCCCCCTGTGTGGACACTTGCAGAATGTAAATTCACACTCAGCAGACTACTGAGGTTTAACTTTTACTCTCATTGATTCAGTCAAAATGCACCCATTGAATATCTGATCCACACGGGCATGGCATAATGCAAGGATCCACGGGAAACGAATTGCACTGCAGATGGCTTGTCTTTAGAACCTCACTATTTTGCTTGAAAGTTACATGAAGCAGTTGGGTAATTTTTTTTTGTTCATTTTTGTACAGGTCCTCGTCTTAAACTCAGGTCCTGGATGCTGTCCCTGAGCTTCATTTTGCTCAAGGATAGCATTCTCCTACTTAAGCCATAGATCTACTTCTGGCTTTTTTGGGAATAGTTTATTGATGATGAAAATCTCACAGACTTTCCTGCCAGGGCTGGCTTCAAATTATGACCCTCAGATCTCAGCCTCTCGAGTAGCTAGGATTGTAGGCATAAACCACTGGTTACTGGCAAATTTTATAAAATGTAGCATTAAGGGCCTTACACTCTTGTTTAGTTTTTATGCTCTAGGCTGGCTCTGTACCACTGAGCTACATCTCCATAGCTGGCTTTTTTTGTTGGCTAATTGGAGATATAAGTCTCAAATTTGTCTGCCCTTCTAGTTTTGAACCATGGTCCTCAGATCTCAGCCTCCTGAGATGCTAGAATTATAAGCATTAGCCACTGGCATCCAGCTTGGATTAATGATTTTTATTAAAGAAATAAATTAGCAAGTGCTAATTGTGCATGTTTATAGGCCCTGATGTGATGCTTTGATTTATCTTTGCAATCTGGAGTGAAGTTATTAAACGTATTAGCATTCATGAGCTCAAATATTTTTCATAGCCTTTTGTGGAGAGGACATTAAAATGTACCTTCTTAGTAACTTTAAGGTATGTGGTATTACTTGTTTAGAATCAGTTTTTTTTAAGAAAAAAAGCAACCAATATCTAAAGGTAGTATTAATCATAAATCATATTTTCTTTCATCATTTAGGATCTAGAAGTCTTTGCCTCTTTTTAACTTTTGTAGCACTCGTTAACATCTGAACCTACCCTATATTCATCTACCTGTCTGTCTGTCTGTCTGTCTGTCTGCCTGCCTCTCTTTCTCTCTTTGTGCCATTACTTGGGCTTGAACTCAAGCCCTAACCACTGTCCCTGAGGCTTTTTCACCCAACGCTGGTGCTCTACCACTTGTATTATGTGCCATTTCTGGTTTTCTGGTGGATAACTAAAGATAAGAGACTTAGGGACTTTCCTGCTGGGGCTGGCTCTGAATTGCAATCCTCCGACCTCAGCCTCCTGAGTAGCTAGGATGGCAGGTGTGAGCCACTGCTGCCTGGCTTGACAGGCAAGGTTTTATATCCATTTGACCTATTCAGGATGGACATGACTAAGAAAAAACTTTGCCTCTTGCTGTTAACATGGACATATTCTGTTTCAGTGGAGAAGGAACTTGAGCGATCAGTTGATTCACATGTAGATGAGAGTCTGTTAGAGTAAGGGTGCCTAAGTTTAGAGTAAGCTGCTTCTTGAATTATTCCCAGATCTCAATCTGTTTCCCTCAGTTCTTCGGCGGCAGTGGATTGTGGAGAGTACAAGGGGAGTTTGTCAGGGAGGGACGTGATGGGGAGTGGGCTGGGCCTCTGTTCTCCTGTTTTGCTACACTAGGTAATGAAGTGCTAGACGGACTGGGGACTTCTTACTGTCGCAGGCTTCCTGATGTCTTTCAGAGTGTCATTGAAGATTTCGTTGTCGTGTGTGTCATCAGGAATCAGAGGAAAGGGGCTAAGTGAGACATCGACAGCATCTGTGGAAGTAGAAAAAAAATTACAGGCACAAAACAAAGAGACAAGAGTTTATGGTAGGACAAGGTCAAAATTCCACATGCCTTTTCTGTCCCTCTGGTATGTATGGAAAAGTGCACTCTGATTATTAGGATTATGTTTTTTCTGCTGGTACTAGGACTTGAACTCTGGGCCTCACAATTCTTGCTTGGCTTCTCTTGCTCAAGGCTGGTGCTCTACCACTGGAGCCACACCTCCACTTCCAGCTCTTTGCTAGTTAATTGGACCCAAGGGTCTCACAGACTTTTCTGCCTGGGCTAACTTTGAACTGTGATCTTTAGATCTCAGCATCCTGTATAGCCAGGCTTATTATTATTATTACTACTACTTCCATTGCTTTTTTCTTTTTTTAATTTTTATTTTTTTTATTGTGAAAATACTGTACAGAGGGGTTGCAATTACATGGGCAAGATAACGAGTACATTTCTTATCAAGCATTGTAGCCTCCTCCATAGTTTCCCCTTCCCATCCCTTCCCATCCACCCCCCGGCCCCCCCCATCCTCCCCGCTCCCCCCCAAATCCACTGTTATTTTTTAAAGATCACAAATAGCCAGGTTAACCTGGAACAAAAAAAAAAGCTAAGGGTCAACATCCAAGCCCTAGATTCAACCCCCAATACTGGCGTATACACAGAAAAAGCAATCATATAAATAAAGATCACTCACACAGACACAGACAGACAGACAGACAGACACATTTGATACTCCTAATCCTAATTAGATCCTAATTAAATTCTTTATTCTAGGACCCAAATTGGTCTTTCCCTATGAATGGCATTGTCAAATGCTTTGGCCTGATGAGATCTGATTGTTTTTGTGACTAACAGATGCAAAGACAGACATTTATCTTGAGTTTGTTTTTATGAATTTATTTTTAAAGAAAACCTGCTAACATTTTAAAGCTTAGATTGCTTTAGCAATCTGAGGCACTAAAAATTTAATCATAAACTCTTAGAGAGGAAAGAACATTAACATATCAATTCTACCTCTTTTAAAAACAGACCACCATCAACCATTTCAGATACCTGAAGAATATGTAATATATTTAAAGTTCTCTTGGAATGAGTTTTGTCCAAGGGGAAAAAAATCCTTGTAATACACATGCATTATTATTTTACTTTTTTGTGTGTGCTGGTACTGGGACTTGAGCTCCATGTCTGGGCGTTGTCCCTTAGCATTTTTGCTCAAGGCCAGTGTTCTCCCATTTGAGCCACAACTCCACTTTCAGCTGGTGATTTTTAAGGCAAAAAGTACATATCCTTTGGACAAACAGAACCTCAGGAAATGGTACCTGAGCTCTTCCATTGTGTCTAGCTGAGAAACCCTGTGGCACAGATAGATTGGCAATGTTACCCTGGCCTTAATTCAAAGTGGTTTCAAACTCTGAAATCCTATGGATAACCATTTATATATCATATATATAAAATAACTATTATATATGATATATGATAATATATGGCATGTGTAAAACAATTCTCCCTCTATTTTACAATAAAGAACTGCTTAGCTATTATACGAGGAGAACATTTTCTTTGTTGTTATTTGTGTATACTATTAGATTGGAAAGAGAAATTATCTAGCCTGTGAAAACAAAGAGCAATTGCTAGGGAGACTGGATTTATCTTCTAACACATTTAACCTCCTTTGAAAAGTGCTCCCATTTCCTTCACGCCTAAGGTACTTGGTAATGTTTCCAATCAAAACCTAATCTCAGGAAAATGTATTGTAACTGGGAAATTTAGTTACTGAATATTTTCAGTTACAGTAAGTGCAATGAATATCTGATCCTACTTAATCTTCTCCTATCTCTGAATGCTGCATTTATATTTTACGAATTCAAGGCTGAAGCCAAAGAAAGTATTATTATTATTGGTGACACTGGGATTTGAACTGTCATTTGCTCAGCTTACTGGCTGGGCTGGTGCTCGACCATTTGAACCATGTCACTAGCCATGGATTTTGCTGGTTATTTTGGAGATTGAGTCTCGTGGACTTTTCTGCCCAAGCTGGCTTTGAATCTTGATCCTCTAAATCTCAGCCTCCTAAATGGCAGTTACAAGGATTACACGTGAGTCATGGTACCTGGCTCATACATTTAACTTTTGAATCTCAAACTTATATATCCAAGTTCTACTCTTCTTGTGCAAATTCATCAATTATGATGATGGGAGGGTCTGGGTGGGAAGTGTTGGGAGAAGAGAGTTTTCTTTTGAGTAAAACAAATGAAACTTACATTTGTAGTGTAAAGATATTCTATTTTTTTTTTTACATTAGATTGTCACTGATGCCAGATCTTGGATAAGTGTGAAGAGAATGACTTAGAACCAGGCAGGTTTTTTTTTTTTTAAGCTGTATTTTGGAAATTATCTCAAGGCCATAGGATGCATGCATGGTCTCTGCCCTGGATGGGCAGAAGCACTGGGAAAATACTTTTCAAACATTTCTTGCAGGAATCACTTCTATAGACTAGTGATAACATTTGTCAGGATACAGATTTGATACAGGTTTGTTAGGAAAAATATGTAGTTTTTGAGAAAAAGCTAGTTTTAACTTACTCTTTAATTTATCCTACTAAATTTATTTTATTATTTTATTTTATTTTTTTTTGGTCGTGGGTGGGCCTGGGCGCTGTCCCTCAGCTCTTTAGCTCAAGGCGAGCGCTCTACCACTTGAGCTACAGCGCCATTTCCGGTTTTCTGGTGGTTTATTGGAGATAGGAGTCTCACGGTCTCTCCTGCCCGGGCTGGCTTTGAACCACGATCCTCAGATCTCAGCTACCTGAGTAGCTAGGATTACAGGCGTGAGCCACCAGCGCCCGGCTTTAAATTTATTTTTTATTTCCAGAGTTTCTGTCAGGCAAAGCATATTGACTTCTATTTTTTAATTTTTATCGTTATTACAAAGGTGATATACAGAGGGGTTACAATCACATAAGTCAGGTAAGGAGTAGATTTCTTTTCACACACTGTCACCCCTTCCCGTATTCTCTCCCAGTTTATCCCTGCATTCCCCCACCCACAAGTTGTACAGTTCATTTTCAACATGGTGTCGAGTAAGTACTGCTGCTAACTTCGATTTTTAAAAGTGAATTTTGAGCCAGGCACTGGTAGCTCATGCCTGTAATCCTAGCTTCTTAGCAGGCTGAGATCTAGAGAATTAAGGTTCAAAGCCAGCCCAGGCAGAAAAGTCCATGTGACTCTAACCCTCAATTAACCATTAAGAAACTGAAAGTGGAACTGTGGCTCAAGTGGTAGAGGGCCCAGCCTTGTGTGAGAGTCAAGTGAGTGCATGAAGACTTGAGTTCAAGCACTAGCACAAAAATTGGATTTGGAAGGTTTTCTAATATAGAAATGCAGTCAAGATGAAGCATTTTCAAAAATATACTATCCTTCTGTATCTAATTCATTTCTGAAGTTGACATAAGGTTAGGCCTCAGAAGTTCAATTTTATTGGCTTGTAAGGGCAGGGAACAATTTCGCAGCTCTTCTTATTTGTGTGTGTATGTTTTGCCAGTCAACTATTTATATACTGGCCTCACAAGCTCGTCTAGTGGCAGTAAATTAGCAGAATTTAAGAGAGATAACGAAGTTGTAATCATAAGAATCTCCTACAATGTCAGAAAATAAAAAAAAATAGGGAAATGACATCACCATTGTTGTATATAAAGCCCCTATGTTTCTCAGATTACAAGTTTTTTTCTTTTTGGTCCGGACGTGGGGCCTGAACTCTGGGCCTGGGCGCTGTCCCTCAGCTCTTCAGCTCAAGGCTAGCACTCTACCACTTGAGCCACAGCGCCACTTCCAGCTTTTTTCTTATGTGGTGCTGAGGAATTGAATCCAGGG